GAGCTTCCTTCTGCCATCAGGAGAAACAGCTGACCATTTACACCCAGGGAGGCCTTAGGATTCAACGAAGATGGTCAGGCAATGAACATCAAGCCAAACCCCCAACAAAAGGAAAAAGAAATTTTATATGTTCACCATTGGACAGTTTCCTATTGAAATGCCTACATAATTAAAAAGTTAGAATTGTCAAGACCACATATTATGATGTGATATAAAAGATAAGGTATAGAGAAAGTTTCACATGTAGAAAAATGTACACAAATATATCATATGTTTCCAAACATAGGACTTTAAATCAATGAAAATTAGTACCTTGATTTTAATTATTTTTTTAACCTGTCGATTACTAAATAATATTGAAGTTACCATTGGTGAAGAAATGAAGAAAGTTTGCATCTTTGGAGGCTGAATTACTTTTTTTAGTGAAAAAGTAAATTAGCCTAATCTATGTTCACAGGACAGTTGTCAAGCTCACAAATGTACCCACCTAGACACGTAAGGCGTGATCCGTTTAAAAGAGTAATTTGGGGCAAGGTTTTATCAGATGATCTTATTGCCAATGGTTAATTTATGTGTATCTTAATATCATTACAGACAAGGAAAGAATGAAGTGTGTATGTATAAACACACACATATATGTCCTTGTATTAATACTACATTATCTGATTTGATTCATTCAATAACCTTGAAAGATAAATAGCACGGTTATTATTTCCATGTTACAGTTGAAAAACTAAGAGTAAAGAAATCAAATGGGCCAGGTACAGTGGTTCATACCTGTAATACTAGCACTTTGGGAGGCTGAGGTGGGAGAATTGCTTGAGGCCAACAGTTGGAGATGAGCCTGAGCAACACAGCGACACCCCTTCTTTACAAAAAAGTAATTTAAAAAAAAAAAATTAGCTGGGCATGGTGGAGTGCACCTGTAGTGCCAGCTACTCAGGAGGCTGAGGCAGGAGGATCACTTGAGTCCAGGAGTTTGAGGTTGCAGTGACCTATGATGATGCCCCTTCACTCTAACCCTGTAGCCTGTGCAACAAAGCAAGACCCTGTCTCAAAAAATAAAAGAAAAGGAATCAAATAACTTGCAGTACTAGACATGGAGCCATCAAATTGAATGTCATTCTGCTTTACATTTTTTATCTTTTGACTTCAAACACCCACAGGTAGCTGCTGCTTTGTGCTCATTTAAAAAGTAGTTTCTAGTTCTCCGCCTTTTTAGCAACATCATCTTGCTTGATTCCTTGATTACGATACCCATATCGCAGAATAATAGTCCCCAAAATGTCCATGTCTTAATCCCTAGAATTCGTGAATATGTTAAGGCTACATGAAAGAGAGAAATTAAGGCTGACCTTAAAATGGAGAGATTGTCCTGAATTATCTGGAAGAGCCCAGTGAAGTAATGGAGCCCTTAAAAGAAGAAAAATGAGGCAGAAAAAGACAGTAGGAAATGTCAGTGTGGAAGAGTGGTCAGAGAGATGCGACAACTGCTGGCTTTGAAGATGGTGGAAGGGGCCACAATCCAACAAATGTGAGCAGCCTCTAGAAGCTGGAGAAGGTGAGGAAACAGATTCTCTCCTAGAGCCTCCAAAAGAGAACATATCCCTGCCAACACCTTGATTTTAGCCCACTGAAACTCGTGTCAGACTTTAGTTTTACAGAGCTGTAAGATAATGAATTTGTGTTAAGTTGCTAAGTTTATAGTAATTTTTGTTACAGCAGCAATAGAAAATTAATACATATACCTTATCATTATACCGTAGCAAACACATTTCTTGCTCAAGTTACCTGAGGTCTGCCAAGTCCGCTGTGGACCAAGAGATTGTGCTCACTTCCACTTTCTGGATTTTTCTCCTTTTGGAACTCAGTTCAAAGTAGTAGCCACTGTCTGGGTCATGCTCTTCTCAATTAAGGGTGATCACATAAAATCCAAAGCCAAACTACACAAGCATATTCCAAGGTTTTGCTCAGATGCAGAAAGCCACATCAGCTCATATTCTATTGATCAAAGAAAATCACGTGACCAAATCAGAAGAAATAGGATGAGGACATATATATACTCGGTTTATTTGGCAGAAAAGAAAGGGGACACATAATTGGTGAATACATATATTAATATAATGCAGTGTGTCACAGATATAAAGAACAATGTATCTGAGCTATGAGAAGCTAAATTTTCCTATTCATCCTTTCCTAAGCTAAATTGATCATCCCTAGGAAGGTGAAAGTAATGTGTTCTGGTGACTCTTGTTCTCCATAGTTCCCCAAAGCAATGAAGCTTGCACGCCCTCAAAAACAAAAAAAAAATAATAATAATAATGCAGAAGGTCACTAGCTACACATATGCTATGGACTAAATTGTGTCCCCTTCAAATTCATGTGTTGGATCCCTAACCCCCAATGTGATGATACTTGGAGATGGGGGCCTTTGGAAGATGATAAGGGTTAGAGTAGGTCATAGGTTGGGGCTCTCACGATGGGATTAATGCCCTTATATGAAGAGACACCAGAGAGCTTGCTCCCATTCTCTCTCTCTGACACAGCAAAAAGTAGGCCATTGGCAAACAAGGAAAAGAACCAGAACCCAACCAGGCTGGCATCCTGATATTGGACTTCCAGCCTCCAAACCTGCTAGAAAAATACATGTCTGTTGTTTAATTCATCCAGTTTGTGGCATTTTGTTATGGTAGCACAAGCAGACAAAGACAGCATGCTTTTGCATCTCCAGGTTCAGGCTTAAAGCAAACCTACATGGAACCATTGTCCTACTCTTACAACACTTTTCCCCTATGCTCAATGCTTATTCACATGCCAGGCACTGTTCCAAATACTGGGAACAGAGTATTTTATTGCAGGGAAGGATGAAATAAATGCATGTGTGGTGGGGGGGCAGGTAGAGCATTGATACAAGGCAATATTGCAAAGTAATATTCACACCAGCTTCATGATTTGTGTCTTCATTTTCCTGGTAGTGTCTCTTTCTTTCCCTGCTCTAATCTCTAATCTCAGGAGCTCATGCCACCCCATGTCTGTCTATTCAGGAGCCCATGACACTACCCTTCCCATTCCACCCCTGCCATCCCACATGGTACTCTCACTGATATTCTGTACTATCCAATGTCTCATTCCTCTCTTTTGCTTTTCCAAACTAACCTGTCCTTTGTCAAGTTTAATAGGGCTTCTTGAAGAATTGTAATTCTTAGTTGGTCCTTCCTCCAGTCCCCTCTCCATTACACCACATACTCGTCAGTATCCATTCCTGGCATCATGGACTCCTTCAGGTCCAAACTTGTCTAAATAAAAATGCAAACGTGTTTCCCGGGTAGGATACTACTCAACTTCCGCTAACAAGTTCACCCAGTGGACACTCATTAAGCCTGATTCTACTTGAGACAATGTGCAGGGAGCAGGGGATACGAACAGAAGAAGATGCAGTTTCTGTCTCTGGGAAGCTCACATTCTTATACGGGAGACACCTACGTAAACAAATACGACACCCAGTGCTAAGTGCTGTGTGCTGGTTCAGAGCTGGTCTACCAAGGATGATGCATGCCTCCGCCTTACCCCATTCTGCCCTGTAACACAGGGGCCAAGCAAGCAGGCCACATTTCTCAGGATTCTCTATCAGCTGGCTTTCTGCCAGATTCAGCCAAAGGAGGTTCTGACTAAAGATTGTAGCATATAAAAAAAAAAGGTGAATAAATTAACAAATGAAAACCAAGGCATGGAGAAGTTAATAACTTGCTAAGATGACACAGTTAGTAGGTGGCAGAGGTGGAGTTTCAACTCTGAACTGATCAATTAAGAGACCTCTTTCCCACTATCTTACATTTAACACAGAAACCTAGGATCACCCATCGCCACTTAGAGCTGCAAAGAAGTAAACTGGGGCAGATTCACAGATAAGTTCTACAGATTTGTCCAGAAAATCTTAGAGAAAATCTTAAAACATGGGGGAAGCAAGAGAGAACTTATCTGTGTGAGATTTCCTGTACATTCCTAAAGTAGTCAAAGAATGAGAGAGAGGAAGGGAAGTCAGCTGGGGGCCACAGTGAGAAAGGTGGGATAGGTTAGAAGCAAGCTGTAGATATTAACAGAAGGTTGTTATGACTTACCCTGGGTGGAGGTGAAGGAAGACGAAAAGAAGAAAGACGAACATTACACAAAGGCTCTCAAGGGTCCTTCCTAAAAGGTCGGAGACGCTACCAGCTTCATGCTCCAGGTAGAGCCCCCGGGAGCAGACGTACAGGTGCCTCCTTTCACGCCATTCTGCTCACCACTAATTCAGTGATGGAAATTGAGTGCAGGGCAGGAACTTTTCTCTGAGTTCCTGTGTGTTCTCGGCAGCTGTCGCTGCATTTGATGAGTCTGCAAAATAAGGCAAAAGGCACTGTGTGGGGTTACATAGCAACAACCAAATCTTTGTCTTTTAGGCTACATAGGCATTAGTTGAGGAAAAGCAACAAAATAAACATAAGCAAAATAATAAGTGCACATCTATTTATATAATACTGATATCATTATTATACCCCTGTCTGTCCTCATAGCTTTGCTTCTATTTTTTTATTTTGTTCTCCTCATCACTTTTTCTCTTGATCTTCATAAGATGTTTGAAATGGGTATGGCCCCAGACAATAGTATATGTAGCATGTAGTTTCTGACTGATTAGTATGTAATTAAAAAATAAGAAAGAAAGGAAAAATGTACAAACTTAAATATGACATAAAACACAGCCACGGGTGGTACAACACTCATATTTATTTGAGGGTCATGTTATTAAACTGAAAGAAAACCACTACAAAATTCTATACATGCATAATTCCATAAATATATGAAAAAGTGAAATGTATCAAAATATCCAGTCCTGGCTGTGCACTATGAATTATTTGAGGAAAGAGGTTTGATCTGCACAACAAGCTTAAGCATTATGCTTAACCTTCTGGCCGGGCGCTTAAGCAGAGCAGGCCAAATCCTGAAGCAGCTCTTTTCTCCCTCACCCAGAGGCTGTTCCCATAGAGACCGCGAGGAAGGCACCAGAGTGCGCTGACACAGATGGTTATGCGCCTATCCTTGCTGTTAAATCCAACCATCGTTGCACCATGCAGTAAAAATGACTCTAGAAAAAGCTTCACTCATCCAGTTGTTTTTGAGTGCCTCCTGTGTGCCCAAAACTGCGCCAGGCATCAGGGATAAAAGGAATATAAACAAGTTAGGCTTGGTTCTAGCTTAGGGGTTCATGAGGAAACTGAAGTTGAGAGAAATTTGGTTTGTCACTTGCCAGAAGTCACACAGCTGGTATTAGTAGAGTCAAGGTCCACACCAACTTCTCGCTGATCTTGAAAGTCCATTCCCTCAACTCCTACCTATGCTTCCTTTTCTTTTCCTTTTTCCCTCTGAAATTTTCTCTCTTATAAATGTCAGGGCAACAATTAGGTCCAGCTTGTTCAGGTGCTTAAGGAGTGTTTCTTTAAATATGAATGCCAAGGCCGGCGCTGTGGCTCACACCTGTAATCCTAGCACTCTGGGAGGCCGAAGCTGGTGGATCGCTCAAGGTCAGGAGTTCGAGACCAGCCTGAACAAGAGCGAGACCCCCATCTCTACTAAAAAATAGAAAGAAATGATCTGGACAACTAAAAATATATACATATAGAAAAAAATTAGCCAGGCATGGTGGCACATGCCTGCAGTCCCAACTACTCGGGAGGCTGAGGCACAAGGATCGCTTGAACCCAGGAGTTTGAGGTTGCTGTGAGCTAGGCTGATGCCACAGCACTCTAGCCCAGGCAACAGAACAAGACTCTGTCTCAAAAAAAAAAAAAAAAATATGAATGCGAAGTCCCCTGGAATTGTGTCAGGTTGCAATTGTGTCTTGTCTGATGGCAGTGTGGGGCGGGGTCTGCCAAGCCCTGGCTTAACTGAATGAATCAGCCCGAGGCTGTCCTAGGGAAGCCAGCAATTCTGCAGTGACTTTCCCCATACAGATGGCCCCTTAGTCGGCTCAGAGAATGCAGAGGGATGTCTGGCTTGGTGTTACAGCAGCAGACCGGGTGGACAAAGGCCTGGGTGGACACAGATGCCCAAGCAATTGTATTGAGTCTATTTCCTGTCATTTAAACCCGGTGTCATTTATTATTCAACTCAGTGTGTATTTTGGAGATTCAATTTGTAGGGTATATGACACACATAGTAAATTGGTACGTATTATCTCAACTCATTTGCTGGAGGACAGGTGTTCACATCACAAGAACCAACAGCCCCACCGACAGTAATTGGTGCCTTGGCTGGCAGTCTGAGCCTAGAGGGCAAGGACCAAAAGTGCATGAAGAATGAACCAATAATAATTTCCACATGCGGCATAGTGTGTTTTACTTGAGGCTCTCAAAGCACATTTTAGGCATTCATTCTCCCTCACTACAACACAGCCCGGGCTTGCTATTACTCTGGTGCTACAGCCAGGAAAACAAAAGCAGAGAGTGGCTGACTCAAGAGAACAGAGGGAAACAATGGCAGAATGGGGAATAAAAACTCAGGAGGCCTGATCTCTCATTCTGTCTCCTTGGAATCTCCCCACATCCATTCTCCTCTCATTTATTATTTAATGTCTTAGCCAGGATATTATTAAGGAACCTACACGAGTGAGTTCAATTTTGTTCAGGTTAATTAATTTCAAAATGCTTGCAAGTCTGTGCGGTGCACAAAATAGCACTCAACACAAATAATAGACCAAAAAAACCAAATATAGTTGCCATATGTTTCTGATGTATGTGGTGTACAAACAAAAGTCACAAGAAGCCGTTGAACATACTTTCAACAACGCGCATGGGTAAGTATTTCTATGTGCACGAAGGGCAGTCAGTCTGGGTAGGCTAAAGATTTGTATGAAGTGAAGAAGCTCCAGAGGCAAGGTATTATCTTAGCTACATAGCTAATGTCATTTCAGAATACCTTGCATGCTAAATTCACTTAAATACATGAAATTAGAAAACCCTGTCCTTGTGGGGTTTGTTAATAATGAGCGGGGAAAAAATGGAACTTTTGCCCTGGAGCTCAGGTGAAAAGATATAATTAAAAATACTGCACTGGAAAAAGTGATTTCTGCTTCCCAGATGGCATTTGGCTTCTGCAAACTTACAAATAGCCACATAGAACAAAACTAACACATTCAATTAAACTCCTTCCATTTAAAACAAATGCAGGTTTCTCTATTACTGATTCAGAAATTCTAAAAAATAAACTGAATAAAGGAAGAAAGAGATTGATTGCTATCTTCTCTTTTCAGGGTAAGGTATGCACACGTGAAATAATTTAAGAGTCTTCTCACCATTGGGAAATTAAATTTGACCAATAACATGACAAAGGTGTACAGGGTCACTACCCACAGCCATGCAGGGAGCACACAGTAAAACTCCAGGGGACCCCAACATATCCTCGGCTGAGAATGGAGACCCTGGGCTTGGGCAGGTAGTGGCTATGCATTCTGACTACATGGAAAGGACAAAATGCCTTTTCTATTTCCAATTTACCTAGTTAGCTGACTTGGTAAGGCTTCCCTAGCCATACAAGCTGAATATAAAATTATCCAAAACTCTTCATAGAGGGCAGCAGCTTTTATTTGACATGAACACCAAAATATAATGAATGATCTCTCCCCTGAAAATATTTTCAATGTAATTGTCCTGTTAATCTTAAGTGAAAGTGGAAAGAAAGGAAAAGGGGCTAGTAGGGTCCTCAGAAGAGCACCACAATGTGTGTGTAGGGGTAGGGGGGAGGCTCAGAAAGTTAAAGTGATTGGCAGCAATCAGAGGATCAAGAAAGAAGTGACTACATATAAGGGCCATGGTTTTCCAATTCCCCTATAAGTTCTTGGATTTCATACTATCGAGGGGTATAATCACCTTAATGAGCTTCCTCCAAAGCTAGGTTCCACAGCTGAGTAGGGTGAAGCTCCACTTGTGGAGTAAGTCTCATTTCTGGAACAAAAAGGAGTCAAACCAGGAACTTGGTATCTCTCTAGCCTCATACTCTGCTCTAACAACTAAACCCTTGCCTTGTGATATAGTTCCCATCTGCATCTCATCTGCAGTGGCAACCTACTGTGCATTTTGATGTCTCAATCTCTCCCTTAAAAGTCAGAGAACCTACTTTTTTCACTGCCTTGCCCTACACCCCAGCCAGGACCTGCCTGATTCCTGGACCATGGTCTCTACCTGGTCACCATGGTCTCTGGTCTCTGCTTTATCCAATCTGTCTACACCTGCATCTGTCATGAAGGAAGCCAGCTCCCAACACAAAAGAAGAGAAGCCATCAAGAATATCAAAGCAAGGAGTAGGAAGTAATCTGTTTATAGTTACCACAATATTATGAATATCAGTAATAATCTTCCACATGGTCTTCATCTTCATCCCACTTTTTGGCGACTGTAACAAAGGTGCACATCGAATTCATTTCCTGACTACACGCAGCTTTCCATTGGTCCTTTATACTTCTCGATCAACAGACACATTTATCTTCTACTCATTAATTCAGCTGGCAAACATTTGCGAGCATATGTTCACTGAAAGAAATTTAAATGATTGTGACCTCAGCCTCAAGAGAAAAAAAAAAAACCCTAGTCATTTAAAGAATTTTAACATAGTTAATGTGCTAAATGCTTGATAGATCACGTGAAGACCAGACATATCTTTATTCATTCTAAAACTAAGAAATGTCAAATTAATTTTGATGGTATCTGTTTCTATTAAGAACAGAGGATTGCCTGGCACATGCTTGCCACATCTAGCACAGTGCCGGGCACGTGAAAGGCCCTCGATAAATACTTGCTGAGTGAATAACTTTGGTAAAAGAAAAGCATTTAGATAGCGAATTTCTTCTCTTATCAATATTTTTCTTTCTTTCTCTTGCATCCCCCACAATATAAAGCAGAGCTTTCCAAACAAAGGTAATGACTACCGAATGAATGAACTGGGGAGTGAGAGATCCAGTAACATCAGTTACAAACTATTTCTGTTATGACCTCAGGTATGTCTAAACACACATATGTGCACATAAAAACACATTGTAGAAGGGAATGTAGCAATATACGAAGAGTAGTTATCCCTGTATTGTGATTATATTTTTTATGTTTCAATTTTTCTCTAATTAATATGGATAATTCTAAGTTATAAAAACCATCACACATGATAAACAGAATTCAAACAATATCAAAGTCATTTAAATTTAAATTCTGTTTGCATTCCATATCCTGCTCCCCAGAGGTAAATATCATTAACACTTTGGTGTGAATACACACACACACACACACACACACACACATACACACACACATACATTTTATAGATAATTGTAAAACAGTACACCATATGTACCATATGCAACCCACTTTCTTCATATAGTGATAAGTACTTATATATACACACTTTACTCTCACTCTAAGAGCTGCAAATTATTCCATTGAATTCTTGCACCATAATTTATTCAATAAATCCTTTTTTTGGTGAATGATTAGGTTATTTTCAACTTCTTCAATGTAATAAATATGCCATTCCACACTTTTCCAATTGTTTTCTTATATGAAATTCTTATGAACATATTTATTATTCAAAGGATCTGAACATAGTTAAAGGTTTTGATGCATTTTCTCAGAGTTCTCCAGAAATTATACATCAATGTACATTTTAATTATGTATAAAATTTTTGATT